AAAAAGAAGCAACCCCGATCTGGTGCTCAAAGGGGCAGAGGTCAAAGTCAACTTGAAGACAACTAACTGAAAGATAGAAGTTGGTAGCATGAGCTTTTGAAGACTTGAGCCTACTTTACACTAATTCATCCACTACTTTAACACATGGATTGAACTTCTACCACTTCTCTGAGTGGTAAGAAATTGTCACTATTTTTAATCTTCTACAGGGAACACTATCGGTATCACTGTATCAAAATATGACAGATGATTTTCAGGACATCTTATGTCCAATTCCTGCCCATATACATGAGCCAATTCTAGACCTCTGAAGTATCAATAAGCGACAGAGAGTATTATGACCATTTTGTGGGTTTCAAGAAAAGTTATTTATTTGGAAAGCATATCTGGGTAGAAGCATAGCAAAATATTATGACCAATTGTTTTTGAGTCAAATCTGCTTTATGGACCAGTGCTTGTATTTTCCTGGCAGGAGATCAAAACCAGAAACCCCATTCCCATAAATACATGCAAGGTAGAATTTGCAGACTGTTGCAAGTGAGGATCTATGCACAGGCTGAACAAAAATTACAGCTCTCAGTGTGTATTTGGCCTAGTATCTGTTTGGCATTGGCCTTCTGCAGCTTCCAAACTCTGCTAGCCACATATGACAGGTATTCTTGTCACATACCCTTCAATATATCACAGATGAAAACCAGGGCAAATGTGGCCAATCAACATCATTGTGTGGTCAAGATGGCAAAAAAGTATGAATGAAGAAAAACACATAAGCTAGGAGAGGCTTCAGCAGTATGCTTTTTCCTGAGCTGACTGAGAAGGGCAAAATTCTGCCTCCTCCTCTTCTCTTCCCTGCAGTGAGTAAATTGAATACAGACTACTTCTGCACTTTGAACTCTTTGCAGCAATTGAAGTAAGCTGAGGACAAAAGGGGAAAGTAGGAGGAGGTGAGAGAAACTGGGACATTTTAAAAGCAGTTGAGAAAGGCAGAGGATTAATCAAGACTGATCCTGCCAAATAGGGATAGTTGGAGGGGATGTTGTCACCATCTAATCTTTTGCATAGTATGAAGATCACAACTTCAAAATCATATGATTTTGGATAACAACTCCCAGGATTCTCTGGGCACATGAACAGCTGAACATCCTTTTAGCTTGAATCCAGTTGTACCATTAGCCCAGTGCTACTCATTGTCCCACTAATTGTTCTCTGCCATACTCTAGTAACTCATTGGGTGTTTCCTGGCACTCTCTCTTCATTCATGTTGGATTGACTCATCATAAGGTTTGGTAAAAGGCCTTCAAAAGGGGGTTTACCAAGCCTCCTCCTGTACAGTACTAACAAGTGTTAGCTGTGGTGCCACTGCTGTTGTGTCTGGTAGATCCTCCACCAGTGTTACCCTCCATTGCTGCTGCTGTCCTGTAGCTGTTTGTCATATTTAGTGTGGCTCCTCAGCAAAAACTTATTCAAGAGTATATCCACATACAGCAGAAAGGAAACTGTTGCCTTTGGGGCAGGGGCTGGGGACAGCATATAATGTTGTTATATGCCTTCAAGTTGTTTCTGAATTATGGTGACCCCAAGGCAAACCTATCAAGGAACCTTCTCAGCAAGTTTTGTTTAGATAAGGTTTGCCATTGCTTTCTCCTGAGACTGAGAGCTTGTGACTTGCTCAAGGTCACCCAGTGCATTTTATGGCCAAGCTGGGAATCGAATCCAGAGTCATAGTCCAACACTCAAACCACTACATCACACTGGCATATAATATATGTTTCAATT